TGAATCCAGCTCCTGGGAAAAGCATGAGGCCTCGAACCAGGTCGCAGGTGCACAGTCCCCCCCCACCCCCCGCCTGCCCCAGGCCGCGCCCATGGGCATCTAGGAATGCGAAGCGCTGCGAGGTGTCAGAGACGCACCCGGGCACAAGGTTGTCCCAGATTATATAAACTCCCTGTGCTCAAGAACATTTGCATTTCTGCCTCACAGCGGGACTCTTCCTACCACGTGGGCCAAGTGGAGATCAGCAGAGACCTCACTTGGGTTCAAGGCGAGCTTGCCACCATTTGAACTTGGAGCAAACCTCTGGGCTCTCATCAAGGACGTGCGGACCCTTGGTGACCCCCGCAGACACTGGATGAGGAGGGTGCGCTCGGGCCAAGCCCATGGCCGTGCTGCGCCCCCCGCCCGAATCCCTGCTCCGAGCCGCCTACCTCCTCCTGCCGCGGGCTGTCCTCTCGCGGTGGGTCGCGCACCTCGCCCTGGATGGCCTCGTAGATGTTCTCTGAATCGCTGCGCGTCAGCGGCCGTGGGCACACCCAGGAGCCGGCCACGCTGCAAGCCTTGAAGCGACCCGCGCTCACGAGGAGGCCGGCAGGCGGTGGGGCGGTAGCAGCAACACGCGCCAGGTCGTCCAGGGACTGCGCGGGGCGCACGGGTGCCGCAGGCCGTAGGTACAGGCTGGCGGGCAGGCTGGGTGCCAGGTTGCTGCGCTTGGCCGCCGCGGCGCGCCGCGCGGAACCGCACAAGGAGCTGGCCCGGCCTCGGGGTTCGACGGCGGAGCTGTTGGGCGCCGGCGCGCTCACGAAGCGGTAGTCGTAGGTCAGCGGCTCGGGGGCCACCGGGCCCGGCTGGAACTGGGGCGCAGGCGGGGCGGGGGCGGGGTCTCCGAGCGCCGGCAGCTCCCGCACGTACTGTGCTGGCAGGTAGAAGGGGCGGCCGCCCGGTTCACGGCGCACGTGCCACCAGTGCTCAGTGCTGCGGCGCAGCAGCCGGTAGCGTTCGTTGGGCTGGATGGCGACGCGGCGCCCGTCTTTCCCCGTGTACTCGAAGGGGTGCTCCACCAGCACGTATACTTCGCCCTCGACGTCCGCCGCCATCGTCGCCACGGCGTTTCCCTGCAGGCGGGCAAGCACAGGCAGCGCAGGGGTCAGGGGCGGGAAGCCGAGCGTCGCACTGCGGGGTCCCAGCAGTGGCCTCGATCTTGCGCTAGCCTTGCGTGTTACAGCCCTAGCTTCCCTGAAGCTAAAATAGAGATTTGCATAAAATCACCTTATACTGCCATGGCCGTTCTACCGTAGGCGCAAAGTGAGGGAGACGGGGCAGACCGAGCGCTCCGCCTGACTGCTAGGAAGCGCCCAACCCTGCCTGGCTTTGCCCTGCCCATTGGGTATCCCCTCGGAGGAAAGGTACTTGGCAGCGCCCTCCGCCTCTGCGCCTTGAGCCCACGGGGTGAAGCATGGGCGCAGGCTCTGGGGAAGGACCTCGAGTGCTCTACCCTGGGGGAGGGGGTGTCCCGACCTTGACTAGGCGTAGGGGCCTTGGCTGGCAAGGCTGGGGAACCGGTTCTCTCAGTTTCTCTTCCCAGTGGCTTGGCGGCAGCCCAGACCCAGAAGCCCCGCCCACACCACCCCCTCCACCTCCTGGCCCCTCGCAGCTCCACCTGCCCCAGACTCCCTGCCCAGCCCGTGAGAGTGGCTCCTGGGGAATGCACTTGCTTACTGGCAGTGACTGCCTATGCCTTATTCTCAGTAGCCCCCAAAGCTCTCACGCAGCGATTGCTGGCCCCTGCCCGTTCTTGCCGGCTCAGCCTGGCTCCTGCTGCGTCCAGGCAGCGCCTAACTGTGCCTCCCTGCAAATCCTCACTGACCGCCCCTTTTCCTGCCTCGCAAAGGTGGCCCGGAGGCCCAGCAGCCAGAGCCCGGCAACTCGCTGAAGTTACGGGAGCCTGAGAACAGGATCTACCTGGGAGCCCTCCGTCTCTACTTTCTCAGTGGTCCTCAATGGGGGAAGGAATGTAAACTGAGGCTCGAACATCGTACAGAGAGTAGGACCCTCTCTTCCCGCCGCCTCCCTCCCCCTCCCCTGCCCTGCAGCGCACTCACGTGGGCTGGGCCAGCCTCCCGCAGCGCACGGACTGCAGGGGCGGAGCGGCGGCTGGCTGCGGGGTTAGCACCCCTCCATCTTCCGGGCGGGGGGTTCCGAGGTCTAGGCCGGAGAGACCACGCGGGGAGCAGGAACTGACCAGAGAAGCAGAGGGAGAGGGTGACTCAGGAGCGCTATTCCCGACTCCCAGTGCATCAGGGTCCGGTAGGGGTGGAGAGGATTCCCAGTGCCTGTGCCAGGGCCCTTGGAGGTTTGGGGGACTGGTCGCTGACCAGTCGCGGGTGCAACGCAGGCAAGGTAGGATCGCGTCCCCTGACCTTCCTCCCCCTCTTCACCCCATCCTCCCCGTCCTCTGTGGGACTTGCTATCCGGAATCTTCTGCGCGCTCTGGGCGCGGGACCCTGAAGCTGGTAGTCCTATCGGGTGTTGTCATTTAAGCGAAGGCCATCGGCGCCCTGATTCCCAACTACCAATTCTTTGTAGCTCGGCTGCTGGCACCACCCTTCCCGGGCCCATCTCTGCCTCCGCCAGGCCCTGTCCTGGAGCTGACCAGATGCACCTGGCATTCTCATGGCAGGGACGCCCACTGGAGTGCAGTATCTTGGCTCCCTCCTCGACCCGGGGGAGGGAAAGTGGGCGAAGGGAAAGGCAGCCAGGGGGAGCGAGGAGGATCCTTGGAGCTCAAGAACGTATCGGAGCTACAGCAGGAGCCGGAGGAGGCTGAGTCCGCTGCCCCGGCTGCTCCAGCTACAGAGGTGCCCATCCTAGGTCTGCGCTGGGGGGGTAGGGGGGAAGGGTCCGGGCCTGGTTCTCTCGGCTCCCGCAAGGCGGGGAACTCCTTGCCCTCCCCTCTTTCTCCAGCGGGAGCCGGTCCGCCCTACAACAGCTCCCGCCTTAGCGCGTGAAAGGGAGGCGGCCCGCGGAGCTCCAGGGTCTGGACGAGCCACCTGTAAGACCCTTCCCCCTCGGTTCAGCGCCGCCCTCTCCGCCCCCTACCCTTCCCCGCTGCTCGGCGGCCCCAGCACCTCGGGGCGTCCGCTGGTCGGCCTCGTCTTCACTTGGCCCGACAGGCGCGCGCGGGGGGCCCGGAGTTCGGCGCTGCCTCCTCCGCCGCCCGGCTCCAGCACTGCCTTGTTTCCTGTTGAACAATATAGCTAGGGAAGCAGCAGCGGAGAGAGCCCGGCACAACTTCCTCCCGGACTGGGGCTGGGCTGCGGTTGCGAGAGACAATCCCCGGTGTCCTTGCTTCCTGTCCCCTCTAGCCCAGCCCAGTACCCCAGGAATGGAGTCGCCACCCTCTCCTCTCTGGATCCAGGGCCACACCTGGTTGCCTCCAGGGAAGAGGCGGCAGCAGAGCCTGGGCGTTGGGACGAGGGGGCAGGAACCTCCACATCTCCCATACCCCACTTTTTGGGCGGATTCCTCCCCCTACCCCCCACCCACTCCTTGATCCTGGAGAGGGTGATGTGGTTCTGTTAAATCTGGGGAAAGCTGCCTTCTCCTCCTGGCATGACTCTGGGCTCATTCCAGACTGTAGGGGCCTGAGCAGCTGTGCATGCCCACCTAGTACCTGAGGCTGGAATCAGCTACTTCCGGCCAACATGGGCCAAGCTGTGGTCCTGGCAAAGCCCACTCCATGAAAGTTGAGACTTCAGTAGGAATCTGTCTCAGCATGCTCTGTGGGGCGCCCTTCCTTGGGTATCTTTGCCCATGCTTATGCTGGGTGCTGCCCTCAGGGGGTAAATGCTGTAGTGGTAAGGAAGCAGTTGGTGTGGGGGCAGGGGCTTCTAGGAATCTTGAAGGCAGGCACGTGGCAGAACACATGCTTGGAGATAGTGACTGGGCAAACCCTACGTACTCCCCCAGCTAGCAGGCCAGGCAAGGAGACAGGCTGGCAGGGGTCGTGGTCCTTGCCAGAGGGACAGACAGGTCTGATGTCCTACTCTGCCACTTGCTGGCCTTTAGATCTTAGAGCTTGGTCTCATCCCTGCCTGTTTTCTGTCCCATAAACTGAGGGGTAGCAACAGTGACTTCATGGGGTGTTGGCAAGGGTAGATGGAGGACGCTGAGCACAATGCCATGGTGAGGATACCCAAACCATAGTTAGTGCCTTTACCATGGAATGAGCTCCTTGGGGTTGGATTGGGATCTACCCACATGCTGTCTTCCTTCAGGGAAACGGGGAAGACGGAAGTGGGTGAGTGTCCTGAGTCACTTTGCGGAGTACACAGGGCCTAAAGCAAGGCAGCACTAGGGCCTGGAATCTGGGTTCCTCCACTGGACCAGCCACCCCTTGGTCCCTCATCTTTCCTCTGGTCCACTGCTCACTGCTGCTGGGGGAAGCCAGGGCTCATGGATGCACAGAGGCCACTTGTAGACTGAAAGGGGTCTTCCAGGACAGGAACCTGGCGTTTTTCCTTCCCACTTTCCTGCAACCAGATTCCCCTGTGATGTCTCTTTCCTCCTTTGCCAGGGTGGGCTTCCCCATGCAGGGGTCCTGTGAGGAAGGCCAGCACCCAGGTAAAGGTGGACCTGAGCCCTGAGCATGAACCCTGACCTCCCTGAGCAGGACTCAGTGTCAGGGGGCCTGCCCAAAGCACAGGAAAAGAAGCTACCGGGGTGTCTGTCTCAGTTCCATGAGAGGGTTTCAAGAAGCAAAAGGACAAAGATGTGAATTCCCCATGGATTCCTGGGAGCTTACTGTGTATGCCTGTGAGTAAACCTCCCACAGGCCTGCGGCTCCCGGTGTGGCAAGAGTGGGTGCACACCCAACACTGTGCTTCCTTACTTCTTTCCCTTGACCCCCTGCGCTAACCCCAGCACCACTGGATGACCACGGATGACAAGGAGTTTTTCCCTCATCAGAGGCAGGGTTAGGTTCAGAACCAGGCCAGCAATTAGAAAGATTAGGTCTTTACTGCAAAATTAATTTAAAAATCAGTGTTCCTTCAGTATTCGGCAAAGCACTTCTCAGGGCCAGAGCCCAGTCTCATCACCAGCAGCTTATTGCATACAATCCCGTTTCTAAAACAGCGTGGGCACTGCTGAGGCGCACAGCAGCTACCCACTGGAGGGAGCAGGCAAGCTCCAATGCCATGGTCCAGGCGCAGAGGGTGTGCAAGAGGGGGCGTGGAAGGAAGCCCCACTAATTAGGGCCTCATTCTTGCTGCCTCCTAGGGGACCTTCTGGAATGTATTCCTAGACCCAGGGTCACCCCAGACTAGGCTGTTGCCCACTCAGGAACCTGGAGCACTGATGGCTCGGATCAGACCACTTATGGGGTAGGAAGGGGAAAGACCTCCTAGTTTAGGAGGCATTGGTGTTCTGGGTATGGGTGCGTACCACTCTGTGAGGGACACAGAAACCGTGGCAGCCTTGTCACTCCCTTGTCACCGCCTCCTCTGCTTTACCTCACAGTTCAGCAGCTTCTGGGGACTGGCAGGTGACTCAGCAGTCAAACCAGCCCCGGGCAAGGGCGGGGAGGGCTCATCTGACAGGAGCAGGCAGAGCTCACCAGAGGTCTCCAGCGCTGAGAGGGACCTGCTGGGCTCAGAAGTGGGGAAGGCAGCGGAGCGACAACATTCACATTTCTCGAGGCCTCTGAACTTCACTTTGGGAACCATTTCAGGCTGCCAGCCCAGCCCCCAAGCTCCCTGCTGCCATGTAGCCAGTCATGCTGTGTGAGTTCACAAGCTGAGGCTGAGGCGGTGTCCGTGTGTCCCACACACCTTAGCAGGGCAAGGATCCAGCTCCTTTCTCACTGTGCCGGGCCTGGCCCAGGGGCGGGGGAGGGGGTCAAAGTGAGGAAGGTGGGGTGACCTGAGGGCCCACCTGGGGTAGGGCCCTGCGGGGTGCAGGGGTGAGGAGGGCCTAGGGATGAATCAAGGTGGGACAAAGTGCTGTCAGTGCTGGTGTTGAGTCATTTTATCTCCCTGTTGCAAGGACCAAACCCCAGGCCAGAGAAGATCCAGGGAGGCTGGGATCAAAAGGAGGGGCTGGGCTTTGCAAATGAGGGGCATGGGGACATGGAGAGGAAGGAGGCTGTCCTCAGGACTGCCTGCTCTACAGGACAGGCTGTTTGACCTGCCTGCCACCAGCCAGCCTTCAGGCTAGGCACCAGAGGCTCCAGCACGCTGCTCAGGGTAAGCAGGCCTGGAGTTCTTAGATCAGTTGTGCAGTGTCAAGAATAGAAAAAAATATTTTCTTCTGAAACATAAAGTGGGAAGACCCACCTTAGAAAACTAGTCCTTTTAATTAGGAATGTGGAATGGAAACATCCCATCTGCCCCACAGTGTGTACACAGCCTGGCCTCAGGTCCCTGGCCTGCTGAGAGGGCCCCTAGCATCGGGCGTGGGCCTCTGTTGTGTCCACACTCCTGGAGCAGAGCAAGGGGTGGGAGGCCTCAGCACTCCTGGAGTTTCCCGACAAGGGGTGGGGGCAGCCAGCACACTCGTGAAATCAAGGGACTGATGGCAAGCCCAGCTGGGATGGCGGGGTAGCTTAGGGCAGCAGGGTCAGGTGAGACTGTTCTGTTGCTGGTACTTGCGCCGGCGGGCACAGCGGGGACAGCCCTTCTTCACCACGGCCTGGCAGCTCTGGTGAAAGACGGTCTTGCACTCGGCACACCTGGGGAGAGAGAGAGTGGCTAAGCACTGCTGTGCTGGCTGTGTCGGAGACGGCTTGGGCTGAAGCTGGGCCCTGCTGCTCAGCACCACTATGCCCATGCACAGCTCTGCTTTGCCTGGTGCTGGAGCTGCCCTGAACAACACTTCCACACAAGTATGTCACACACACTGGGATGCCATGTCCTCCTTCTAGAAATGCTGCTTGAGACTCATTCTGTGGCTGCTGCCTATCTTTAGAACACTCTGCAGTTTGAAAGCCTCAGCCCTGGGCCCACTCAGGGCTCCGCTCTTGGCTGGAAGACACCCACTGAGAATTTTAATGCTCAGCTCAGCTCATCCTCGGCCCCCACATGGGTGGAAGGCAGGTCTGAGGCCTTTGTCAACAAGATGACCCACAGCAGCAGAGGCAGTGGCAAGTACCACCTACCAAGTACCCACTCTGGCCAGGCCTTGGGCCAGCCCTCTAGGGTAGTCACCCACTCAGTTTCACAAGCCAGACAGTGGCTCAGGGGGCCCCTCTTTGATAGCCAGCAGCCACCAAGACCCCTGATGGAAGGCTCCGCAAGGGCATGGGAGTTCTGGGAGCCCTGCATATGGGCTGCTGTGAGTGACCTGGCCAGCCCGGGGCACTGGCACTGCAAGGACATTGGGGCTATGGGTGTAGAGGAAGGTGGGGCTGGGAGATGGCTGCCTGGCTGTCACACATACCTGACTGTGGTGTCAAACTCAAAGGGGAAGATGATGTCATGGTGGTGGCAGATCTGGCAGATGAAGCCGCGCTGGGTACACAGGTCGCAGTGGTAGACGTGCTGGGAGGCAAACTCGATCAGCGTCTTGAGGAATCCTTCATATACACCCTCTGCGATCTGAGAAGGGCAAGCACAGGCCCCAGCTGTGGCTCCCGCCACCTTGTCCCAAGTCCCTGTGCCGGTCAGGCTGAGCCACGCAGACCTCCAGCCCCTGTGTTGTAGGGGCTAGTCCCTGATGAGCTCCCAATCTGCTTCTTTCCTTAAAGGAAAAACTCTCACCCGTGTCCCGGTATTTGCTGGTGTCCTTGTTTATTCGGGGGCAGGGGTGGAGGGGAGGCTGGGCAATTGGTCAGTGCCAGGAAGCTCTGGGGTAGGAAGGGGCTGAAGATTGCCATGGCCAGCCCCTGTACCATCGCCCAGGACGAAGCCCCTCTGGAGGTCTGTGGGGGCATGGCATTCTTACCTGCTGGAGGTCAGCGACACTGAATTTGTGAGGAGACTCTAAGAGGTAATTCCTGTGGTTGAGCCTTTGAAGAAGAAAAAGCCCCAGAAGATTCTTTAGAAGGATTTCCAAGACCTTGGCCAACTGGTGTGGTGTTTGTTTTCATTCTCTCAGCACTACTAATCAGTCAGAGCCACCTCCCGCCTGGGCAAGGCAGTGGCCAAGGGCACATATTGGCCTGTTAAGCCCTGGGACTTAGGCCAGTTACTGAACCTCTCCTGACAAATGAAGGTGAAATCATTTGCTTGCAGCACTTGGCTCAGTGCCTCGCACAGAGTAAACACATCATTGACAACAATGGGGAGGAGGAAAGTGAACTGCCCGTGCCAGAAACCAGACTAAGGGTTTTCTTTGTATCTTCATTCATTTAACCTTCACCAAAGTCCCGTGAGGCCAGTCCTAGTATAAGCCCCATCTTGAGAAGGAATGAAACGAGAAGCTAAACAACTCGCCAGGGCCCACACAGCTGCATCTGAATGCAGGAATCCAGCTCTGGAGCCTGCACCCTTGCCGACCTCTCTGAGTTCTTGGTGGATGTTAGCTTGTGTTTCTCGCCATCGTGTCATGCTGGGGCAGTGAGTGCCAGGGACAGCAGCCCTGGTTCAGCCAAGGGGAAGCACTGAAGTATCTGGGTTTTGCTGAGACATGAGAGGGCCTGAAATGCACCCCAAGCACAGCAGATACTTTTCAACATGGGGAGGGGAGAGCGAGGGCTCGGCTCAGCCTCTGCCACGTTGATGGCAGGGATCCTGTGACTTGTGTCCCTAGGGATGGAGAGGAAACACCTGCACAAAGTCCCCTGCTACCACACCCTGCTTGACAGAGAGACAGAGAGAGAGAGTGTGTGTGTGTGTGTGTGTGGTGGGGACAGGGGCTGGGGTGGAGAACACTTCAAGTGAGAGGAAGCTTAGGGACCTGTCCAGGCATATCCCAGATATCTAGGGGCAGGAGAGTGCCAAGCCCTGGGGCAGGCCTTCAGGGTGTGAGCCAAAGGGCACGTGGAATGTGGCTTGGCCCTGCCCTGCCTGATGGTTCTGGTTGTGATCCGGGAGAGCCCAAGCTGAGGTGAAGATACTGAATCCCACTGACTAGCCCAGTAGGCCACACTGTACTTTGCACGGTGAGGACAGTGCTGGCTAGCCACACTCAGTTTACCGTGCTTGTTACCCCAGCAAACATGCAGCTTTATGAGAACAGGAAGCTGCCATTTCACAGCAGGAAAACAGTGGAGGAGGAGCATGGCATCACACAGGACAACCCTGAGCTGGCAGGAAGGGTGGGGCTCACCTGGATGGAGTCACGTCTGTTCTCTACTCTCCAGGCAGCCCTGTGAGCCAGGCAGGGGTCTTCCACAAGCCACTGTCTCTGCTCCCATCATACTCAGGGCAAGGCCTTATAACCGGTCTCTCTGTGAGTTAGTTGAGACCGGAGGGAGAGGACCCCTTTTCCTGTCCTCTACGAGGGAAGCACATGGGCACTGGGACACACTCATGCCTGCTCTGTCCTCTGGTACGAGGCTAGCTGCGGCAGGCATTAGAGTAATCTCTACAGCTTTCTGGAAGACAGTAGAAGGCAGAGGAGACAGTAGCTGCACCTTAGCTCGTCACCGATGCTGATCAGGAAGGAAAAAAGCACCAGCCAGGCAGCTGCCATTTACATCGTGAGGGTCTCCTCTCCGACCTCCTCCATACCCCACGATCTGCCCATGCCTTCTCTGTTCCCTTCTTACATTCTGGATCTTTCTGGGCCACTGCTCATGGCTTGCTTAGGGCCAGGGTTAATACTCCACCAGCTGCTGGTCTGGTGCTCGGCTCTCCACCCGCGTCCTCCTGCAGGAGTGCTCTTTTCTAAACTGCCACTCAGAACACGCCAGGATGGTGCTCCCCACTGGCAGTAGATGAATTCCAGCTGTATGACAAGACCTCCGTGGCCTGAGCCTGTGAGACCACTTTGTACCATGGGTTCCTCTTGCTCCTAAACCCCAGGCCAATACATGGCGGCCCTTCAAAAAGTTCATGGAGGATCTGGTGCAGTAGCCTAGCGGCTAAAGTCCTCACCTTGCACGCCTGCGATCCCATATGAGCACTGATTCTAATCCTGGGCCACCCCACTTCCCATCCAGCTCCCTGCTTGTGGCCTGGGAAAGCAGTAGAGGACGACCCAAGGCACCCACATGGGAGACCCTGAAGAAGCTCCGGGTTCCTGGCTTCAGGTCAGCATAGCTCCAACCATTGCGGCTGCTTGGGGACTGAATCAATGGACGGAAGATCTTCCTCTCTGTCTCTCCTCCCTCTAGAGATATATGACTTTCCAAAGGGGGGAAAAAAAAGTTCATGGAAAATGGGAATAAAAGGCAAGTTTATTTTGGAGCCAAAATTTTATTTTCAAATGCATAATCCTTTCACAATGTGCTTTTTTTCATGGACTTTCTGAAGCTCTGGTATATGTGTGGATTTAAATTTTTTTTAATTAAAAAAAAAACACACCTTGGCGTTGAGACTCTGAAGTTCCTCATGTATAGGACACCACTGATGTGGAGCAACTCTCTCCATGTAAATGGGTCCACCAAGGGAAGTCCCTTTGATAACCGTCCTCTGCTCCTGACACTGGCTGCCTTTGTGAAGAAAGGCACTAAAACAAAATACTGCCAGCTTCCAGCCCAGATGCCACCTCCTCTGGGAGCTACCCAAATATGCTGTTCCTGCTTGTGGCCATCTGTGGGTGCCTCAGGCAGCTCTCACCAGCACCCAACAAGACCACAAACGCATGGCAATCACTGGCCCATTCTGTAGCTGGGGTTTCAAGAAGTAAAGCAACTTCCCTGCTCTCTCCCCTCCCTATAATGGGACTTCCAGACGCAGCCTTGTCCTCCAGCAGGCCAAGTGTGCATCGGCATACAGCAGCTGACGATGGCACTGCTGACCCTGGCAGAAGGAGAGTGGATGCAGGTTCCCAATGAAGCTGTTGGAGAAGACACCTCAGCAGGGCAGACAGCATGAGTGGGGCCAGAATCTACTTGGAAGCTCTGGTCCATGCAGGCCAGGGAGAGCGTGAGGCTCCTAAGATCCTAGGAACTGCACTGGTCTGGAGTTCTGGGTTATACAGAATGGGAGGGAGTCAGGCCCACTGAGCTGGGGAGAGCCAGACACCCAGCTGATGAGTGGGTGGCAGAGCCTTCCTGTAGAGGAAACAGGGCTCAGGTGGCTGCTCTGGGGGCTGTGAGCACCCAGTTTCTCTCTGCTTTCTGCTTTGCAGAACATCCCTGCAACACCCCAGCCCTTTCTCAGGAGCTGCAGGGGAACTGTACCAGGGCCAGTGTCGGCAGAGATCTGGGAGAACCTAGCCAGGATGGAGGAACGACACATCAACAAGTCAGGTGCTCTCTCTGCCAGCCTCACAGGAAGCAAAGGGCAGGCCTGAGGAAGGAGCTTGAAAGGGCTTGTGAGGTTCCTTAAGTCCCCAGAACCTACACTGGCAACAGGCACCAGCCACTCCCAAGAGCCTTGCAGGAGGCTGCAGACTGGCCTGCACCCTGAGAACCAGAGGGAAAGGCTGTCAGGTCCATGCGAAGTGGGGTGTCATGGCCCAGGGACCAAGCAGCTTCTTGAGGGGCATCGAGAGGGATGCCCCTGCCCTAGCCTATCTTGCACATGCTGGAGACTCTTGGGAGGGATGACGTATGGATAATAGCCAGCAGTGGGGAGAAGACCGACCAAGGAGGGAGAAGCCAAGGACCACAGCTTCTGATGGTCTGGCCTGGCGTGCCGTCCAGGTTTGCCTCTCACCACACTCCCCACTTCCCTCCTTCAGCCTGAGTGCTCCCTGCTCTTTGTGTGCAGAAGGCCTCCCTTCAGGGTCTGCATGGACCCTTCCTTCTGTCCAGAACACTCTTTCCCCCTCTTCTTCCCTTTCTAATTCCTATGTATTTTTCGGGCCTTATCTTAGGAGTTCCTTTTCCCAGGAAGACTGCCCTAGTTTTCTCTAAAGTGTGGAAGATGTTTTGCCTCTGTGCTTTTGGCATGTCCTGCGTTTCCCTAGCCTTCACCTCCTGGATGGAGTTGTTGGTTTCCTCACAGTCTTCCCTGCCAGACCTGAAGCTTCCAGTAGGGAATGACTGATCTACTGTGCTCAGCGCAGTATCTCACATTCCTGCTCCGTGCCTGGAATTCAGTATGTCCTCAGTAAATGTCTGAATGAATGGATACATGAACAAAAACTACCCCCTGAGGGATGCAGTGATTTCTCAGGTGCCAAGCACACAGCCTGCCCAGGTACTGGATGTATGCACACATATCTGTGGGGAGCAGGTGCTTACCTCCTGCTCAGCTCCTTTAAGACGCCACTTCGGCACAGGCACAAGTAATCGCCTAGAAGCTTCAGCTGCTCCCGGCTCCTGCCGATGAGGTGCATCCGTTCCACATGTTCATACAGAGATGCGTTCACCAGCTGCAGGTTGATGAGAGGCTGGGCCCGTATCCGCTTCAGGAACTTCAGGGCCTGCCGGCAGACCTGGAGACACCACCAGTGTCAGGTAGAAAAGAACAGCAGTTGGAGCTGGTTCTGCAGCCCAGCAGGCAAAGCTGCTCCCTGTGATGCAGGTATTCCTTGTGGGCACCACTTCATGTCCTGGCTGTTCTACTTCTGACCCAGTGTCTGTGAATGGTCTGAGAAAGCAGCAGGAAATGGCCCAAGTGCTTGGGGACTATGCCAACCGCGTGGGAGATCTGGAAGGAAGTTCCTGGCTTTAGGCTGGCCCAGCACTGGCTGTTATGGCCATTTGGGGAAGGAACAAGGTGATGGAAGACATCTCTCTGTAACTGCCTTCCTTTCTGTTCACTTCCTTCTTACCTTCCTTTTTGTTTTTTAGGGCCTGGCTAAATCCTTACCTTGCATGTGGTGGGATCCCATGTGGACACCAGTTCACGTTCCAGTTGCTCCACTTCCTATTGAGCTCCCTGCTTGTGGCCCGGGAGAACAGAGGAGGATGGCCCAAAGCCTTGGGACACCATATCCACATACGAGATCTGGAGGAGGCCCCGGCTTTGAATCAGCACAGCTCTAGCTGTTGCAGCCACTTGGGGAGTGAACCAGCAGGTATTTCAGAGAGAAATATCTTCCATCCACGGGTTCACACTCCAAGTGACTACAACAGCTGGAGCTGAGTTGATCTGAAGCCAGTAGTCTCCTCTGGGTATCCCATGTGGGTGCAGGGTCCCAAGGCTGTGGGTCATCCTCCATTGCTTTCCTAGGCCACAAGCAGAGAGCACGTTGGGAAGTGGAGCAGCCAGGATACAGACTGGTGCCCATATGCTACCCTCATTTTCAGGCCGGCAGGAAACAGGCATGCCCCTCTGAGCCCTGGCTCAGAAACCAGATGACTGGTCTGTGGCAGGCTCCACCACAGGAAACCACAGAGCTGACAGAGCTGGCATGTTTCCCCAAGCTCCTGCAGGTCTTGACCACATCTGCCGACAGCATTCTGCACATCTCTGTGTGGAGCTGAGTGGTTAATCTCACTTCTCCCACAGATAGGTGGCTGAAGGCCTTATCTTTGGCCCTGACCCCATTACTAACACTAGTGGCTGAGCACCTACCACCATGTGCCTAGTACTTGCTAGGGACCTTGATCAACTCCTTTCTCATCCTCATATCAACTTTTAGGGGAAGGAGCCATCAACCCACTTGGAAGATGAGAAGGAGTCTGAGAGGCTTCAGCAAAACCCCCTTTAAAGAGCCCCAAGCCCAGGTCTGGACTGTGCAATGCCGGCCCCCTGCTCTGAGTGAGGCCCCCCGTCCTGTGCTCTCCTCCCTATGTGATTAGATATGTCGAGGAGTGGAGCTGGGCTTGGTGGCCAGCTACTTCCCAGTGCTCAGGGAGTCAGAACTGGGCTGAATTCCACCTGTACATCCTTGAGAAATGTAACACTCGGCACTCCTTCTCCTCAGCTGCAAAATGGGGTGACTCAAACCATACATCTGGTGAGATTATTCTGAGTTTTGGTGAAGAGAGACAATCCATGTATGCTCTTCACGTAGGGCTTGCACTGCAGCCTATCCTCAGAGAACACAAGGTGATGCCCCTGCTATGTGAGCACCTTTGTGGTCCAGTTGTCCCCTAAGGCCAGAGGACATAACGCGCCCCCAGAAGACCTGGAGATTCCAGGCCCTGTCTCCTGGCTCCAATAGCATCTCTCGCCTGCCCAGCAGCAGGTATCCTAGAGCCCTGAGGTACCAGGCCTCCAGCCTAAAGGCAGCCAATAGTAATGGCCCTGCTCTTCCCAACTCAGCCTGGATGAGGCTTACATAAGCACAAGAGCATGTGCTGGCAGCCAGCCACCCTGTGCTCCCCAAGGCTTGTTCCTATCCTATGCACCTGAAGGACACAAAGAAAGAGGCCTTGGTCCTAGGCTAACATTCTGCCAAGTGTCAGCCAAGCCACAGCACAAGTGGGTCAGCCAGAGGTCCCCAACCTGTGGGCCTGCGACCTTCAACCACTCAACACAGCCCTGTGTTCTCCTGAAACAGATAAGGACACCAGAGTTAGTCTGCTTGTGGTAACAGGAAGCTCAGCTAGAAAGGAGGAAGATGTGGAAGACTTTAGGAAGGGCCTTATTCCACAGCAAATAAACACAAAGAAGAACTGAGAGTCAGCAATGAGCCAAAAAAATAGGTGAGCCCAGTAGAATCCCAACTCTGTAGCACGCAGATGCCCTTGGAAATAAGGCACAGCACAGGCTAACCTCAAGATGTTGACATGATTATCTTTGGGTGATGACACATGATCATGATGTATTCCTGGGTGTTCTGTAATGTTTAGCTGTTAAATAGCCATGTATTGTCTTCAAAATGGGGGTGCCCCAGAAAAAAAAATACTCTTTCAAAGACAAGAACTAAGTCTATGGAATTGCCAGGGCCAACAGAGGTGAGACTGAGACTAACTGCTCTCTGTTGTACAGCCCACCAGCTCGCCCACCTACCTGGCATCCACCCACTCATGTATCTACTTGCTGTATCTGTAGGTGCTATAGATTTTTTTTTTTTGTCTGTGACTCAGGAACAGTGAACAATTCTTATACCCCTACTTGGGGACTACTTGTCAGCAGGTGCTGACAAAGACTGTGGGCAGGAACCAACCTCAGCTTCTTTTGGCCAAATTCCTCCAAACAGGAAAACGACAGGGCAAAGTGGAGGCAACACTGCTTCAACCTGTTGGGGCCAGCACGGGCTGGGCCCGAGACTTACCGGGCGCTTAGTGAGGTCCCAATTGTGGATGATCCTGGCTGGGATCACTGAGGAATCGTCCTGATGGCAGATGTCACAGTAATAGAGACCAGAGAAGGCACAGAGCTTGGGTCGTATGAAGGAGAAGCCAATCTGTCGCGAGCAGCCTGCAGAGATGGGCAGTGGGTGAATGAGTGCAGACAAGGCCACAGTCAGCTCAGAACTTGCAGGAGCTACTAGGAAATGACCTGTGCAGCTTTTTTGTTCTTTTAAATTTGAAAAGCAGAGGATGAGAGAGAGTTGAGAGACAGAAAAATATTCCATCTGCTGGTTTACTCTCCAAGTGGCCATGCTAAAGCCACAAGCTGGGAAGACTGCTATGGGATACTGGTGTCATAAGTCAACAGCTTAAGTTGCTGCTGAGCTACAAAGTCAGCGCTAGTTTTTTAAAGTTAGGTACAATGATAAAAATAACCACGACTCAGGGTCATAGGGGAGGGCTAGCAACTCTGTTTCCAATCTAACTTCCTGCTAATAATCCTGAGAAGGCATTATTATTGGCCCAACTACTTGGCCTCCTGCTAACCATGTGGGAGACCTGAATGGAGTTCCTGAGTCAACCCCAGCTGCTATTTAGGGAGTGAACCAGGGGATGGAAGAACTCACTCTCTAACTCTACTTTTCAAAAAAAATCTATAAAACCACCACCACCATCACCACCCAAGCCACCACTGATATTTCTCTACTCAGAACTGACCCTATTAATGAATCCCTAACTCTATGAAATTTGTGCTCAGGAATGTTGAGACAACTGTTTGGTCACACAGCAGCACAAGTACAGGGCAAACATTCAAAATTGGGACCTGAAGGCCATATTCTTGTCCATTATACTTAGCTGTTTCATTTGTCCCTGCTTTCTGGTGCTCGCTCAGCCGCACTACCTCCTGTCTACTCCTCCACCAGGGCCCAGAAATGGAGGCAATTAAGTGAGACTGGACAAGCAGTGACAGAGTAGGGAAGATGAGGCCAGGCACAGGAAGGGTGGTGAAGAGGCAGGGCACTTTATACACTGCGTGCTGCTGGTTCCAATCTAGAGCTGTCTGATCTCACGGGACAGCAGGGGGCAGTGGAAGTCACACTAGGGTATGCCCAGGGCAAAAAGGAAAGGCAGTGTAAATCCTGGATGCATCCTTGCCTCTTACAGGGATAAGTCCAGAGGACTGGCTCCTTTCCTTAACAGCTGTTTTATCCTGACCTTCAGCAATGGTTAAAGGGTCCATTAGAAGCATCTGTAAAATTCAGCTTCTACTGGCTGCTTTGTGGCATTTTTCAAACTATGAGCCAGACAGGATGAAAATGGCCTGCAAACCACAAAACACAACCCACAAAACAGCAGTAAGCATCTACCTGGCCACCGAGCTGTGTGTGCAGGGTGGAAGGCAAGCCCAGACTCCATGGTTCATAGTCCAGGCTGGCAGGTGGGTTGTCCCTGCAGTAATCATACCCACAGTGGGGGGAACTTCCTGTCACAGCCTTGGACTCCTGGCTCCTACCAGCTAAGACGCCAAGCTCAAGTGCAGAGGGCTTGTGAGTGGCAGCTTGCAGATGTTCTCTGATGGAAGCTCAGCAATTCCCAACCTCTATACACTACTTCCTTCCTGACACTTGGGCAGGAACCCCCTCTGGTCCCAGGGCTCCTCCCCACCTAAGCTCCACTTCATGTTTTGACTCTCAGTAGGACCCCTTGCTGGAGGAGCTGATATCTCCTCATAGTTAGAGGAAGGGAGTAGGAAAAGCTAATAACGGACTACAGGCAGCAAAACATGCAGTGTCTGTGAGCAATATGATGGTGGTATCCTGTTTACAAGCTCAGACTCTTGGGCCGGACAAGCCAGGTCCTAATCCTGCTCTGCCACTTGGTAGCTGTGAGAGCCCGAAACAAGGTACTCAGCAACCCTGGCCCGTTTCTTCATCTACACATAGAGATATCAGCAGCACCAGCTTCTCTAAGGTTGTGGCAGAAATGAAATAAGAGCTCAATGAAGCATCTGGCTCAGTGCCCTGCAAAGAAGCGTTAGATCTGACGCTGCAGTAATAGAGCACATGCATTGCCCTGGAATACCACCATTAAGTGCTAGTAAGAAGAGAGTCACACTGGGGAACAATTCAGAGAACTACGCTGTCCAAAAGAGTGACCACGGGCAGCACGTACCCCCTTTAATTAAAGCAAATCCAAACGGAAAATTCAGTTCTAGGGCTGGCATTGTGACACAGCACGTGAAAGCCGCTGCCTATGGTGACACTGGCACCCTGTTTGAATGTTGGTTTGAGATCTGGCTACTCTTATGACTGAGCTCCCTGCTGATATACCTGGGAAAGCAGGGGAAGATGGTCCAAGTGCTTGGCCCCTGCACCCATGTGGAGATCTGGAAGAAGATCCATGGAAAGTATGGATCTAGAATACTTTCATAACCAGAGAAAGCTCTAGGAGCTAATTCTCCACCCTGCGGTGCCAGCATCCCATATAAGCACCAGTTTGTGTCTTGGCTGTTCCACTTGATTCAGCTCTCTGCCTATGGCCGGCGAAAGCAGCGGAGGATGGCTCAAGTCTATAGGTCCCGGTACCCATGTAGGATACCCATAAGAAGTCCCTGGCTCCCAGCTTAGATCAATTCAGTTCTGACCATTGTGGTCATTCGGGGGGTGAACCAGTGGCTCGAAGATCTCTAACACTCTGTGAAATCTGCTTTGCAAATTTAAAAATATTTTAAAATAAAATAAACACTATTTCCATCTGAAAAAGGAAGTAGAGATATTCAGAAAGATTCCATGACCCTGATCCCAAAGACTATACGGATGAAGGATGTAGTAATAAGATAATGGGGATGGGAGGAGCAGATCCCACCCCTCATCAGGAAGCTGCAGGAGAGGGAAAGGATAGGGCTGTCTGGGAGTAGGGTGCCGGTCCTGGCATGTGCCAGGGAGGAGCAGAGACAGCAGACAAGTTTCCTCTGCTGTATCTCCCAGGGAGGGATGGAGGTACTTATGGAGAGCCAGTAAGGGGTGGGGAGCCCCAATCTGGAATCCACAAGGGGCAGAGTGAGGCTGGCAGGCTGGGGGTGGTGGGGCAGCAAGTTGGCACCTGCGCAGAAGCAGCCCTGGGAGCCCAGACCCTTCTCCGTGGGGATGGCCACCAGGTACTGTAGCAGGAAGCCGTGCTCCCGTGTGGCAAACTTCAGCACCTCCTGACAGTTTTCGTCCAGACTTCCACCAAGGGTCACTGCCTCCTCAGCCGTTTCCAAGTAGGATGCCAGGACCTTGCGCACCAGGTTCCTCCACAGGGTGGCCTCCTCGGCATTCCCAGCCTGCAGCTTCAGGACGGCCTTGGCTGTGATGATCTTAAAGAAAGCTGGGCCCCCGAGACTGGTATCTGGCAGGACATCTCGGATGGTCTCCACTCCATGGCTGTCGCTTAGCATCTTCTCCTTATTTTTCACACGGAAGCACTTTAGGGACTCCAAGGACAGGGAAAATATATAGGGTACCCAGGTCCTGTCTGTATACAGGTACAGAAGGGACTCTTTGATAGCGTCGGGCTCTGGAACCTGAGCAGACGCCCAGTCCAAGTGTGTGTCCTGGAGGGCTGTAGATTCTGAGAACAGGTCCAAGTGAGAGGGGTGGCCACCCTCGGGAGACTCAGGGGTGTCCTCAGGCTGTTCAGGGTACTGGATGTTCACCCACTCATCCTCCTGCTGGGGTCGGACCTTCTGCAGGGCCTCCTGCACGCGATCTAGCCAGTCTTCGGCCTCATCCTGCGAGGAGGCACGCAGGACCAATTTCTTGCCTGAGAAGACCAGCTCAAAGCGCCCATCACTGTGGGCTGGCCCCACAGACTCACAGCGCAGCAGTGAGCAGCTCTCCACGCAGGTGCGCTCCTCGTCACTCAGGTAGAGGCGGAGCTCCAGCGGGGAGAGCTCACAGAAGAGCTCCTTCCACATGCCCATGGCCCCTCGCCGCTCCACTGTGCCCAGCTTCATGAGGCCACGGAACGGGTTGGACAGTCCTGGAGGCAGAAATAGGCATGGTAGGTTATGGTCTGCCCCTTTACCTTGAAAAACCACCTCTGGTGTCGGTTGTGACTGCCACTGGAACACAGGCCAGCTGAGGGCATGGTCAAACGGGCTCCTGGCTTCAGAGGGAATTTTTGAGTGTCTCCTCACTCTGCCCTTGACCTACCTTACCAGAGCCACTTCAGCATAACCCAGCGCTCATACATATACCTTCTCAGCACTGGTGTCTTTCCACTTTTGCCTTCCCTCTTGTCGCCAGGAGGGACCGCTATGTGAGTGGGCCCCCCCAGCCCCCCACTGGCACAGATGTTCTCTGTGACCACCAAGGACTCCGCTCTCCCTGTGGCCCTCTGCTCCCTGCTCAGTGACATCACTCCCATCAGCTCACACCTGATATTAGCCAAAAGGCCGAGAAATGATCCCCATCAGCTCACAAACAGGCTGTGATTTCTGCCATCTTTCAAAATAGCTCATCACCACTCACAGCTTTCACTACCACCCAGTTTCTTGGTCTCAATCACAGCTACACTGCTGGGGAAGATATCAAAATTGTCTCCAGTTCCCTGCTCCCATTTCTTCTTGAATCCATTCCAGTAAGGCTTTGGCCCTTCACTCCGCTGAAACAGCTCCTGGGAAGCCACCAACATCCTCCTCATTGCTGCACCCAGAGGCCACTCCTAGGGCCTCCTCTTCAACCTTGTGTCTTCTGGCCTTGCTCCTTGTTGCTGGCCTTCCACGGCTGGAGACCCAGTGTCAGGTCCAGGCTCTTAACTTTTCTCAGTGCACACCCACCTCTTACCTGCCCTAAGTTTCACACCAACAACTCCAATATTATCTGTATCCTGAATCTCACTTTTTAAAAATGATTTTTTTTTTAACTGGAAAAGCAGATTTACAGAGAGGAGAGACAGAGAGAAAGATCTTCCATTTGCTGGTTCACTCCTCAAATGGCCACAATGGTCAAAGCTGAGCCCATCCAAACCCAGGAGCCAGGAGCTTCTTCCTGGTCCATGTGGGTGAAGGATCCCAAAGCTTTGGGCCATCTTCTGCTGCTTTCCCAGGCCATATGCAGGGAGCTAGATGAAAAGTGGAGCAGCCGAGACATGAACTGGCACCCATATGGGATCCCAGCATTTGCAAAGGAAGGATTTTAGCCATTAGGCTGTTGTGCTGGGCCCTGAATTTCGATCTCGAACTTCAGATTCATACATACATCTGCTCCACAAATGTTCTCCTGGACATGTCAAAGCTGATGTAACTTAAGATAGAGATTCTTCCACTGCAAATCTGCTTCTTCTTTAATTTTCCTCCTCTGACAAGTGGCAAACTTTAATCTCCCAGTTGCTTGGTCTTAAAAACCTTTCTGTTATTCTGGACTTTGTTTCTGTCACAGTCCATAACCAAAGTAAATGCAAATCCAGGTGGCTCTTGGTTTACCTTGTACCTTGTCCTACCCCACCACTACCTCTGGGATCAATTCACTGTCATTTGCCTGGTCCAGCACAGCGACCTGCAGAGCTGGTCTTTTACCCTTGAGGTCCCTCACCACGGGAGCCAGCGAGGCCTACTTCAAAGAGAAGCCAGGGGACGTCCCTCTGCTCCGAATGCTGCAGTGTGGCCAAAGTGCTGAGGCTGGGCACCCTTATCTGTTGGTTTAGTTTTCAGGAGAGTTACAGAGAAATCGGGCTATCATCAGTTACTGATATTTACTGGAACTGCCGGCTGGCCTCACTGTAAACAGCACAAGAAAACACTAGACAAACAGCAGAGCTGCTAAACCCCACAAGAGCTCATGATCAACTCCCATGAAGGAAAAGTCTTTGGGGGGACCGCTGAGAACCCCCGGGGGTGAGGAACAGGGTTTGTTCTGAGCTCCAAGTGCAAGAGAGGGTTCTCCACCATCAGGTTTTAGAGAGGAGGTTCAGAAAGAGGATTTTCTATTTCAAAAGGCAATTTTGAGCATGACTGTATTAAAAAAAAAAGATGCCCAGCTATGCTTTCCTGAATTAGCAAATATGGTCCTCACTACGACACAGGGGATCAGGTTTCTCTTGAGAGAATGCATGGCTCCTGGGGGGTTGGAGGACAGAATGTTGGAGCTGCTTGGTAATGGGTTGGGCCTACCCCCGTCCTGTGGAGCCACGTACCCATCTGCCTCCGGTGCACCACCCGGAAGTTCCTGTGCTCCTGTGCCTGGGCTGCTGGGGCTTTCCTGGGCCCTGGGGAAGGTGGAGACGCTTCTAGAGTCCCTAGAGAGGAGCTCTTTCTTGGTCCTTGAGAAAGACGCCTGTGGAGAGCAGCTCTGACCTTTGGTGTCACCCTGGAGAGCCCTGGGGATCCGCTGGAAGCTCCCTCCGCAGGTGGCTCCCTGGGAGGCCGGTAGAAGTCATCTTCTGAGATCCAGCTCGTCCCTTTCTATTGAGAAAGAAACACAGACAAGCGGCTGTTTGTTTTTAAGTTAAGAAAAAAAAAGGACATTATTTACCCATCATCCCATCATAAAACTCACCCTTGTATACAGTCCAATAACTTGGGCAAATTCAGAGTTGTATAAACATCACTATAATCTGAGTTCAGAATTATCTTCACTAGCTACCAAAAGACATTCCAGGCCAATCAGCAGTCGTTTTGTGCCCCTCTGTCCCCTTCGAGGCGAGGCCACTACTAACCTGGCCTTCTGTCTCTTCAGACCTGCCCATTCCAACCACTTCACAGAAGTGGAATCACGCAATATGGGTCTTCTGGTTTTCTTCCCTTTACATGATGTTTCATGATGGCAGCATGTTCCTTCCTTTCTGCTGTCCAGGCATGCTGACCCACTCCTTAACTGACACACATTTAGCCTACCTTGGCTTTTTGGCCATCAACGTTCACGTGCAAGTTATGTTTTCATTCTCCTGAATAAATTCCTAGGAGTGCAACTGCTAGGACATATAGACCTCCATGTTTAGAGACCCAAGGAACTCCCAAACTGCTTCCTGAGGTGGTTACTGTACCTTACACCCTGGCAAGACCTGAGGGTACTAATTTCTCCACAAACTCTGACATCTGTTACTGTTTCTCAGTGATGGTCATCTCTTCACTGATATGAAGTGATAATGTGGCTTTGATTTGCAATTAACTATTATGATAATGACATTGAGCACCTTTTCATGTGCTCACTGATTATGCAGACAGGTTTTTTGGGAGAAAAATCTATTGAAATCCTTTGCCCATTTCCAAATTGGGCCTTTCTGTTGTGTTACAGGTTGAATTGTGCTGAAACCACACAAACCACCAAACACAGCTGACACCACACAGCTCTAGTACCTCAGAATGACATGTCCTATTTGGAACTAGAGCTCTTGAACACATCATGACCAGATGAGGGTGGGCCCTTCAGACAGTGAAAACTGATGCCCTCGCTAGAAGAGGAGAAACACACACAGAGGGAAGGGCATGAGGAGGCAAAGGAAGGGGGCCTGGCGTTGTACCCTAGCGGATAAAGTCCTTGCCTTGCATGCACCAGGATCCCACATGGGCACCAGCTCTAATCCTGGTGCCTCTGCTTCCCATCCAGTTTAATGTTTGTGGCCTGGGAAAACAGTAGAGGATGGCCCAAAGCCTTGGGATCCTGCACTCACATGGGAGATCCAGAAGAGGTTCCTGGCTTCTGGCTTCAGATCAGCGCAGCTCTAGCTGTTGAGGCTGCTTGGGGAGTGAATCAACAGACTGAAGGTCTTTATCTCTCTCTTCCTTTCTGTATATCTAACTTTCCAATAAAAATAAAATCAATCTTAAAAAAAAAAAAAAAGCAGCCAAGGAATGTTAAATGCTGCCAGCAATGCGGGGAGCTACCAGGCAGGGAACAGACTCTCCTTTAGACTGCAGGAAGAGCTAACCTGACTGGCACCTGGATTTCAGATTTGCACCCTCCAATACAAGCAGGTGAGTTTCTCCAGCTGGAAGCCATCCAGTGGATGGTGCTATGCTACGGCTGCCCTAGGAAACTAATAAAAATTCCAATGTTCTTCTTCTTGTTAAAATTACTTTTGAAAGGAACAGAGAAAGAGTGATTGAGACTTTTTCCAGCCGCTGGTTCATTCCGCAAATTCATGCAATGCTGAAGAGGGGCCAGGCTGAAGCTCAGAGCCAAGGATTCAACACAGACCTCTCATGTGGGTGGAGGGACTCAACTGCTTGAGTCACCATTTCTATTTTCCAGGGTAATTGTTAGCAGGAAGCTGGAGAGGGGAGTGGAGCTGTGGTTCAAGTCCCACAGTACTCTGATGAGGGATGAGGGACAAAGCTTTTTTTTTCTTTCTTTTTTTTTAAATATTCTGGATACTGGACCATTACTAGATATTCAATTCACATTTTTCCCCATTCTACTTTTGATGATGTCTTCTGATACACCAAAGATTTTAAATTATTATTTAAAAAGCAGATTTTCAAAAGACAGATGCAGAATTAGATAAGCCCTTCTATCCTCTGTACACACTCCAAATGGCCACAATGGCTAGAGCTGAGCTGATCCAAAGCTAGCAGCCAGGACCTTTTTCCAGGTTTCCCACATGGGTGCAGGGTCACATGGACTTGGGCCATCCTGCTTTCCCAGGCCACAAGCAGGGAGCTGGTTGGGAAGTGGAGCAGTGGGAAACGAACCAGCTCCCATATAGAATGCTGGCACCATAGGGCAGAGGATTAACCTGATGCAGCACTGCACCTGTCCCAACTTATCTAGTATTTTTGTCTGTGTACCTCTGGTATTGTATCTAAAAAACCACAGCCTAAGTCAATGTTAAATATTTACTCCTGTGTTTCTTGCTAAGAGCTTTGTAGCAACTCTTGCATTTAGGTCAATGATCCAGGCTGAGTCAAACTTTGCAGAAAGCATGAAGAGGCACAGGTACTTCATCCTTTCCCATGTGGATACGCAGTTTGTCCCGGCATGTTGGCAGAAGAGGGAGGTATACGGTGGTCCTCGCTCCCCACCTCTGCCACTGCTTCCCATTTCTGAGCAGGCTGACTTCCAGACAGGCCCTGCCCCCTCTATTCCACTGCTATCTGAGCCTGTAGCTGCTCACTGCTGGGGGATGGGGGGGGCACAAGTCAGGGGTTTTTGGGAAGCAGCCTCAATTCCCTTTATTTCCCTTTCACCTTTCAAGGTTTCTCTGCCCTTCTACGTTGACATATAGACAACAGAAGATCAAGGATGCTGGCTGGGTCGCTCCACATGGCTGTCTAAACCGAGGAAACGAGTCACACAGGCGGTGGGATCAGCCCTGCTGTTTTGTTAACTATCACCAACCTCATCCTGACGTTGCTATTTCTGACTCCACATCAAGATTTGGACCAGAAGCTGGGCAGGAGCTGCTCCAGAAGGATTGTGGAGATAGTTAAATCCATTCAGGTGCTGGAAGACTCCTTAAGCCATGAGTGGTGAGGAGATTCAGATGCTTGGGAGGCCCTCACAGGAACAGGCCCTCAGGACCTCCCTGACAGGTTCCTGGAATTGGAAGGTGTTTCCTCTGCCAGGGACACCAGGATATGCTGACTGACATGGTTCCTGGGGCCATCTGCAACACTAGATTCTGTACTAGATCCTATCTGGTTCATCAAGACCTGAGGAAAACTAGTTGGGGGAGCAGCTGCTGGCCACATGGCTGTCCTGGTAGCCTCACAAACACCTGAGAGGGCTGTGGTCCGCAGACCCTGCTAATGACCTTGCTGGAGAGCCCATGACCCCTTCAGACTCAGCCTAGAGTTGCTTCTGACTCCTGTGTACCACCCTGTCGATCCCTCCACAGGCTGGGCTGGTGACCTCCCGTGAGCTCCCATGACATTCTGGCTCATTCTCATCCTAACACCTATAATGCTGTGGTCATTTGCCCCACCTCAGCTCTGGCTGTTTGGGCCATTTGGGGAGGGAATCAGCTAATGCAAACTCTTCTTCTCTGTCTCTCGTTATCTCTGTAAATCTGCTTTTCCAACAAAAATGAATTAAGAAAAAAAAAAAGAGAGAGAGGTGGTTGGGGTAACTGGAAGGAAAGAGACAAAGATGATTGATAAGATTGCACCTGTCCACTGGGGAGGGGGTACTTTTCTCAGAGGTGATGGTGATCCCAGCACAGCTGCTGGGAGATGATACCCTAGGGAAGGCCTTTGGCCCCTTAACCAGGACAAATGTTAGCCTCCTGAAATTTCCACACCTTCTGTGTGGGAACGGCAGGTGGCAGCACCCCAGGTTCTCCCGCGTCAGCCACATGTTCTCCTGGAGATCTTATGGTGATTAGACTCCCCAAAGGCTGCCTAGGAGGCAGGGCCTGTGCCAATCACACCAACCCGATGGCCCCGTCCCCTTCTCAAAGGAAACTCTCCTGTTGGCCTCCCCACGGTCTCTGATGTACTCAAGCACCATTAATGTATGTCTGTTCTCTCCTGGGCGCAGTGCTATCAACGGTCCAGAAAGGGACAGGCATGGCCTTGTGCATCATGGAGCTTATACTTAGTTTGGAAGACAGAAATAAACAAGGAGATAAATAAAACGATATTGCATGTTTTATCAACAAGCAGATCAACTGGGTGTGACTGTCACTGGGGATGGCACCTTTTAGACATGCGGTCAGGGAGGGCTGAGGCAACAATGAGGAAGAGGAAGAGGAGTTGGGACTGCTGCCCAGGCAGAAGCAATCGGGAAGATGAAGGCCCCCGACTGGGAGGAGCCTGCTTGTGTAGGGAGTCACAGGATGGGATGGTCAGGACTAGGGAACACAGGATTACTGTTGCTGAATTAGCTGTCAGATCTGGAATCGTGGCAAAATAGGAAAGCTGAGCCTGCAAAGCAGAAGCCAGACCCCGCACAGGAGTGGGCCAGCATGGTCAAGGCCACTCAGTGGGACATTCCTAAGGGACATACCTCTGCCTCCAGCTTGAACTGGGGGCTACAGGAGGCTCCCTCCAACCTTCAGTTTGGCTTGGCAATAATGGCCTTGTCACAAGCTCCAGGACCCATGTTTGTACAGAGACATGACCTATACAGTCACATTTGATATATCAGGGTGCTAAGACAGACACCCTTCTGGAAAAACAGGAACCCTGAATCCTATCTCATATGCAAAAATTAGTACCAGAGGCATCATTAACCTAATTATCAAAGGCAAATTACTAAAGCTTTTAGAAGGAAACACTGAATAATTTCAGAGCATTGCAGTGAACCAAAGTGTCTCAAATGGACAAAAAATAAAAACCCTAGACAACCATAAAAAACGTGTGTGCTAAGGGGCTGCTGTTGTGGTATAGAAGCTTAAACTGCTGCCTGTGGTGTTGGCATCCTAGATAGGTGTTTGTTGGAATCTTCACTGTTCCCCCTTTTTTTTTTTTTTTTTTTTTTTTTTTTTTTTTAACTGAAAGGCCAAGTTACACACACAGCAGGA